CCAGTTAAAACTATGGTTGAGTCTGTCCATACGTTGTGAGATTAAGGAATTTTCATCATGTCTTCTGACTGCTAGTTGGTGCTCGCAGATGCGCTATGCTAGTCTTCTGCCTGTCTGTCCTACGTAGCGTTTGTTACAGTCCTTACACTGTATGTTGTAGATGACTCCTGCTTTTTCTTCTTGGGCTACTGGGTCTTTTGGTTTGCTTAGGGTATTTTGGAGTTATTTTGTTGGTTTATGTGCTACAGAAATGCCATATGGTTGTAATAGTCTGTTGGTGGTTTCTGAGACGTTTCTGATGTATGGCAGTGTTATCCTTTTCATAGCTTGTGTTGGTTGTGTTGTAATAGGGTGAGTGGTCAGGCAGTTTTTGATAAAGTTGTGCGGCTATCCATTTTGTTGGAAGATGTCGTATAGGCGGTCTGTTTCCTTTTTCTGCTGTTCTGGATTGCTGCAATGAACTTATGCTTGTTTGAATAATGTTCTTACACTGCTCCTCTGGTGGGAGGTTGGGTTGTTACTTTGGTAATGGAGTACTTGATTGGTGTGGGTTGTCTTCCGATGAACCTGAGTTTCTAATTTCCTGTTCACAGGCCACAGCACATAAATAGAGAGCAAACCCCATCCCATTTTAGCACTGAAGATGTTACCTAATAGAGAGCAAACCCCATCCCATTTTAGCACTGAAGATGCTACCTAGCCGGGTAATGAAACGTTTGCAGGAAAAGAACCAAGCTCAGAGAACCCCAAGGACTCCACAGTTCAACCCTGAGGTACACATATTCACTTCTATTGCTATAATGCCCTTGAAGCCTTAAAATTGTTTACGAGCATCCATTGCTGCAGAATGCTGCTAGTCAGTTACTGAGTGACAAGCAAAGTCAAAGCTGTAGTACACACAATTTATTCTGACTGCTTGTTTCTAATACAAATTCAAGGAAATGACATTGAACAATGAAGCCCCGTAGGCCTGTATTTATGTCTGTGTGTGCCAGTCTGGTCTTTTAGATTACTGGCACATGCTCTACTTATGGTGCTGTCTACGTGTAGTTTCCAGGAGAATGGGGAAAAATAAGGCATAGGTAAGCAGGAGAAGAATATGTGATTTTTTTTTAATCACAAAAAGATTTGGGTTCACATATTGCAGTACATTATGGTTTATTTAAGCATGGCTTTTGAATTTTCTGGAATCACACTGTATGTTAAGCCATAGATCACAGTTTTAAACTGCACTAGCTTTGTTCATATAACATGCCAAGCTAAAGTCAAGCAGACAACAATAGATAGCTAACATAATATTTATAGATCATTGGTTCTTTCTTGACCGTTCTCAGGGCTGTTAGTAACCATTATGCTGTGTGTACTGTAGAAATTTCCCAAATAGGAAATATAGCTTCAGATAACTTGATTAATTAAGATTTCTTTAATTAGCACACAAATCAGAAGGAGTTCAGGACTAGAGTTGTTCTCACAGGCTCATTAATCATGTTAGTCAATTAAAATGGGTTCTGGAAGGGAATGATGGAATTTGTTATCCTGAACTGCATTAAAGCATTTTTTATTTATCTGTACACAAGTGAAAAGCAGAGAATGATTGGATTCTGAGCTAGCAATGATTGAATAGAATAAGGATCATAGAATCATAAGGTTGGAAGAGACTTTAGAAGTCGTTTCTTCTAACCCCTAATTATTTTTTCATGATGGTAGGAAGCACAATGAAAACAATTTAAAAAGTGTGAGTGAAAAAAAAACAAATTCCACATTGGGAACCTCTAGGAAATATTATAATATCTTTATTCTAAAATTATTTTTT